CCTGCGCCGCGGCCACGGGCGCGGCACCCCCGGCCGCAGCCGCTGCCGCCGCCGCGACCCCGCCGGCAGCGGCGGCGTCTTGAGCGCCAGCTCCGCCGCCACCGCGTCCACGTACGACTGCAGCGCCCAGAGCGTGGCGCGATCCAGCGAGTCGATGTCCAGCTCATACTCCTCATCGTCGGCGGGGGCGGGGCGGCTGGGCCCCTCCGCGATGATGCCCAGCACGCGCTCCAGGCGCTCGCCCGGAAGCGTGCCCAGCGCGTGCGACAGGCGCCGCTTCTCCTCGAAGGCATGTCGCGGTGGGGGCCGGGCGCAGGCGCGGGGCCGGGGCCGCCGTCGGGCGCACGCCCTGCGCCCTCCGCCTTGCGCGCCAGCGCCGCCAGCTCCTCGCTGGCCGCGCGCAGCGCGTCCGGCAGCGCCGAGGCCTCGGCCTCCAGCGCCGCGCTCTCCAGCGCGCAGCGCCGGGCCTCGGCCTCCGCCGCCGCCTCCAGGCCGCGCGTGGCCCAGGCCTTCTCGAACTTCTCCGACGCCTGGTCGCCGATGTTGCGCACAAAGTTGCCGGGCGGGTTGAATTGGCGGCAGTTGGCAAAGATCAGCCGCACGTCGTCCCGGAACTCCAGCAGGCTGCTGTACCGCCGGTGGTCCAGCTTTGCTGTCATGGTGAGGGCACGTCGCGGGGAACAGGGATGAGTGAACGCCGCGAGCGGGTATCTGCGGGGCAAGGTGAGCCCCGGGTGCCAGCCATGCCCCACCCCAAGCACCCCTCTCCCAAAGTCCCACGGCTCGTCACCTCTCCCCGCTCCCCCCATGACTCGTCACCCCTCCCCACTCCCCCCATGACTGAAATCCCCCAGCTCACTCTTCACCGTGCCCAGGTCCATGGGGTTTTTGATGACCGCGTAGTACCCCGGCGCGTAGTTTGCGTCCACGGGCTGCCCAAAGTACTGCTTGGTGCGCCCCGACCCATTGAGCGCGGCCAGGATCTTGGCGCACTGCGCCCACAGCGCATCGCCGCGCCGGCGCTGCTCGTCCAGTAGCGTCGCGCGCCGCGCCTCCAGAGACTGGCCCGGGTGCGGCGTGGCCGGGCCGCCCCCGCTCGTCCGCGCTTTCTTCGCGATAGCCTGGATCTTGCGCAGCACCTGCACGGCGGGGGGTGACGAGGTGAGGGGTGGGTGGGTGTACAGCCAGTGAGGGAGGGAGACGCAACACGGGGCATGGGAGGCAAGGGGGAGGAGGGGTGCTCCCTCCAACCCCCTGGCAACCTCGGCACCGTCGCACAGCAGACTTCCTGGCCCAGGCCACCCACGGCAACTGCCGAGGCTGGACAGGCTACTGGGGCCCATCATGTGCGGACATCCCCAGGTGTATACTGGCAGATGACGAAGGATCAGCGTGCCATCCTTCCACCCTCCAGGAACACAACAGTCACCCAGATGCCCCCACCTCTGCCTTCTGGGAGCGAATGAGGCTGAGATCCTCCCGCAGCTGGCGCTTCCTCGTCTGTCCATCGGGGTTGGTAGCTGCTGCCATCATGTTCTGCGCTCGAAGGGAAGGGTGGAGGATTCCTCAGCTCATCCTCGAGTTGAACTGGTGTAGGCACGGGGGGTCCGTTGAGGGGCCACGGAACCTCTCCCACCCACACCTCGAGGAGCGCGACTGCTTCTCAAACTCCCGCGATGTTCACCTCTGTCTATATGTTTCCAGGGCAGCAGGGGTAGTGCGTTGGAGCAGCTGGCGCAGCTCCGCGCACGGATTGGGCAGCTGACGGCGTGTCTTGGGAAGGAGGGACAGCCTAGCTTGTACAACGCCTGTCGGCTGTCATCCTTTTGCCGCTGTCTCGGGAAGGCCGCTCCAGCGGAGGACGAGCATGGGGGCCCGGACACCCTGAGCAGAATTCGCTCCATGCTTTCTATCGATCCCAATTTTTTGGCGGGATTTGAGGACTCCATGCCCGGATGCACGCCCATGCATGAACGTCACACCTCGGCTTCGCAAGCTGCGTCCTGGACGAGCTAATGAGACGGCCATTTGCCTCATGAGACGAGGCATGGCTGTCGTTGTGATCCGGATGCTTTCTTTGTAGTATCGATCTGGCGGAACGCTGGCAGGGGCCTCTCACATCGAAAGAGCAAGTGTGATGCCTTCTCCCATGCGCAGTCTGAACTGCGGCGCATCGTCCACACACAGAATTTTGATTGCTCCAGCTTCTTTTGCGCATGCTGGTGAGCTGCCATTCGCAGCGCTGAGGCATGTATATGGTGTTGCATCCGCCCCTATCATACCAACATGCCTGCATTCACCTCCACCCAGGGCGCCCATCGAGGACTCCTCTTCGCCCCACCTCCAGTCTCATCAAGCCTCCCTTCAATGTCGTCATCACGGGAGGCACCAAGGGCGTGGGCAAGGCGCTGGCATCCGAGTTCCTGGCGGCCGGCGACAGCGTGGCCCTGTGTGCGCGATCGGGTGAGTAGAGAAAGGGGGGTGCATCCCGCATTGGGATTTTTCAAGAGCCCCAAGGCTGCTGCAACTCCATCTTGTACTACACGCCCCGACATGTAGCGGAGGCTGTGGACGCCACCGTGGAGGAGCTGCGATCAAAAGGGAGGGTAGTCGGGCGCGCCTGTGATGTAGCACGGGCGGCTGATGTGGAAGCCTTCACCTCCTTTGCACAACAGGGTGATATGCGGTTGGGAGCGCGCGTGGGCATGCCTTGGCGAGGGCTGTCGGCTTTGCATCGCCTGCAGAGCATGCTCGTGTTGCGCCAGGGGCCTGGCGATTGCTTCCCAAGCGCAATGGCGTGCCTTCCAATCCTCTTGTGCCCCCACCTCGCCTGCAGAGCTGGGGCGAGTGGACATGTGGATCAACAATGCTGGGACCAACGCCTACCGCTTTGGTGCGCTGGAAGACCAACCGCCTGAGGACCTGGAGGCCATCCTGACGACAAATGTGCTGGGGGCCATGCTTGGCTGCAGAGCGGTAAGGATTAAGGGGGGCGGGATTGGCAGGGGGGGTGGAAGGGCAATACGGAATCGAGGGTGACCAAGATTATGATCAGGAATTGGACAGGACCCATACTGCGTACACGATCAGGCAGAGGATGCAAGCTTGCATACCATTGTTGCAGGGCGTGGAAGTCCTTGTGTGCACCCTCGCCGTGCCTTTGGGGGTTTTCACTTGGAGTTCCCCACCAATCGTGAACATTGTTATGCCGCAGGCCATGTCTGTGATGGCAGGGCAACCAAGCGGAGGGCACATCTTCCTTGTGGACGGTGCAGGTGGGGATGAGAAAGGAAGGATGGGGTAAGCGGTTTGAGTGGGTTTCCAGCATCATGTGTGACGCTGACGGGACACAGAATTACCGGCGGCGATTCACACTGCTCTCAGGGTGCATTGTATCTGGAGACCGCATAAGCATGCATCTTTGCTGGCAGGAGCATGTGCTCTCTGACTTTGATATGTTTAATTAGAGGATGAGGTCTCAACATTGCACACCTCTTCACTCGGCGCCCACCAAAAGTCCGTTTGCCAGCCAGAACTCGTCACCGTTTCCGAGTCCAACATCATACTCCCCACAGGGGCGGATGGGGGCGCCACCCCTCGCTTTGCAGCCTATGGCGCCTCGAAGCGTGCCCTGAGCCAGCTGGGCAAGAGCCTGAATGCGGAGCTGCGAGGGTCCCCTCGCCGGGGACGAATCACGGTGCACACAATGAGCCCCGGTATGGTCACCACCGAGCTGCTCATGGCGGGGGCTGACACCCGCGTCGCGCGCTTCTTCATAAACGTCCTGGCTGAGACGCCAGAGACGGTGGCGGCCAACCTGGTGCCTCGCCTGCGCCAGGTGGTGGAGGGGTCCAGGGGAGTCCTTGGATCTAGGCCCCAATACATCCGGTGAGATCGTGGTGTTTTCGTTGATTAGGGTGAGAGGGTCCACTGTCTGTTGGGAAAGGGGGAGGTGGGAGTGGGGGCGCGCACAATGAAGGAGATGGACGGGGTAGGGGCCTTGCCGAGTCAGCAGATTTTGGACAGCTAGGCCTGATTCATGTTTGGTGTTGGGCTCAGCATTTTTCCGGCCTGAGATTTAGGCTGCGATAACGTCAGATGTTGATGCGGGGAAGGTTCATGTCCATGTCACCAACTTGCCATATGCGGTCCCTCTTACCAGGTATCTGACCAAGCCCAAGGCGTATGGTCAGATTCTGATGCGACTCCTGGCCAAGCAAAGGAAGAACAAGTTTGTGGAGGAGGAGTGACAGTCGGGATGCACCATGGTGTTGTGGGGCACCCTCTTTAGGCCCTCCCACCCTTTCAACCAGCATCCATGCCCTGGGCCGTACCTGCGCCGCCTGGAGCAGCGCCTGAACTGCAAGCCCCCCACCGAGTTCGGGGTCTTTGGTTGTAACATGCCTATTGTAGGTCAGATGCATCAGACCACATTGTGGGGTGTACCCTATCCTAACAACATATGGTGATGAGAAAGGGACTGCCCTCTTCCCAGGCTCCCTTTGGGTGAGCCAGGAGCCTCTCCCAGCCAGGCTGAACATCATCCTACCTCCGAGTGGTTATTAAGAGTAAAGACTTCGTGGTGCGAATGAAAGATCAACAGAGTCATAGTGACGAGTCAGCTGCATGAATGGTAATTACACTATCCAGAGCCGGTGTACAGGCTCTCCTTCTTCTGGAGGGAACGAACCTACGGAAGGTGAGGAGGAAGGGAAATGAAGCGGCCATCACCACCATTTACTCGCCCAAGCCACAAAGCAACAAGCTCATGGAGATTGCCGCCAGTGGTATCTGGAACTGAGAAATCCACCCCTGCAGCTCAGGTACACCCGTCTCGTCGCCTACCCCCTCACCCACCTTTGCCAAAGAGAGGATCGCAAACATGCCAGCCACCCCGGCACCTCCAAACGCAGCCTGAGCGAGCAGCTGCCGCGTGGCTGCCGAGCCCACCTGCACCAGCGCGCTGGCCAGCAGGGCGTACAGCGTGGCGGTTTGCATTCTCTGCAGGGTGGGAAGGTGGAAATCAGGGGACGAGGGCCAGGGTGAGCTGGAGCTGAGGCCCACTTGCCTATCCTGAATCACCTTCCTTCCCAAGTAACAAACAGCCTCGGCTCCGCCAACTCACCGCGACCCTGTCTAGAGCACGCTCGGCCTCCAGGGCCCGGACCCTGAGCTTGAGCTCCCCCCTCTCCAGCCGTTGCAGCAGGTCGGCGCTGTCTTGCACCAGGTTGGGGGCACGGAACAAGTTGACCACGGCGCGGTTCTGCAGGGCCAGGCGCCCCCTGAAGTCCTGGCTGGCCTTGGCCAGCAGCGGCCGACCCTCCAGCAACAGGTCCCGTGCGTAGGGGGCTGAAGGATGGGGGGGGGGGGGGGGGGGGGGCGTCAGGGGCGGCCGCCTGGGATTGGTACGCCCATGCAGGGGGGTGCCACAAGTGTAAAAAGCAGGCATGCATGAGTCTACCAGGCCGCCCTCCATCCCACCCCACTTCCCCTCACCTGCTATCTTGGAGATGTCAAAGCCAGGGGCTAGAGTCTTCCCGATGCCATCCAGGACAGTAAAGGAGCGGACCTGTACAGGCACAGTGTATGCCATGGGGGGAGGGACGAGGGTTGAGCTGAAGCGCAGCAGAGCCAGCAAAGTGACGAGTGTCGGTATTGAAACCCATGCAGCGAGACAGTGGGCAGAGAGGGCCCAGTGCCAGCCTAGACAGGGGTGCCAGCTTCTAAGGGTTAAATCCAGGCACCAATCAGCCACACACCACAAAAGTGAAGGTGGCGGGGAAGCGGAAGGGCTTGTCTGCCGCTGCGAGCAGGAGGTCCTCCCCTGCAAGATTTAGGGGCCACGGCAGGGTTCACCACTCACAAAATGCAACCGAGCTGCGCTGCCAGTCCAAAGATATGTCAGATCCCGGGATCGCACACGAGGCATGCACAGCTTCCGGGATGGCAAGAAGGCAGGTTCATTGCAACACGACAACGAGTACCGCTGCACAGTGCTTCAAATCCCGCGCCCCCAAGTCGACCCATCACCCACCAATGGAAGAGAGGATCTCCTTCCTTTTCATCCGCTTCTCCTCCTTGGTCCGGCGCTGTGGCTCCTGTGAGGCCAAGAGTAGGCGATGGAGTTGGACTCGCAGGAGAATGAGCTGAGTGTGGGCCCCTCCTCAACCCTTCCCAACCCTGCAGGGAGCTTCCGTCTGGACAAATCCTAAGGATGCCATGTGCAGCAGCTCTTCATCGCTCGCACCCCGCACATTCCCCCCTCACCTTCTGGTTGGTCAGGCGGTCGCTGAAGGAGCGCAGGAAGAAGTCTGCCGTCCTCCGCACCGCAGTCCTGCGCACAGGGATGGGGTGAGGAAGGCCCGGTGAGTGTGTGTTTTGAGCCTACTCTGCTCTTCATTCAACGCTGTGAGCAAGTGGCAGGGACGCGCAGCACCACAGTCTGCCTCGGAGCAGGTCCTTGTGGGAATGCATGGGCCTGTCCCTGACAGCCCCGGTGGCAACTTACATGTCGCCCGTTGGCACAAGAACCCCCATGGCCGTCAGGGCAGTGAGACAGCGGTCCGCATCCTTCTCATACACGCCGTAGAACAGCTCCAGCAGGCCACCCCTGGGGGGTGAGCCAGGGTATGCTTGTATGTGTGGGAGGGGGTTGCTGCCTCGGGAACAGGGCATAAAATCATCAGAGGATGATGTGGGCAACATCATGCTGGTCCGTCTCCCCCCCCCCTTCCGAGAATTCCTCCACAACCCCATCCGAAGCTCAAAGCGCTGCCCCCCCAAAACCCCCCACACTCACCTGACGTCCCCCGGGATGGACCCCATCATGCCAAAGTCATAGTAGATGAGCCGGCCCTGGCCGTCCACCGCGATGTTGCCCGGGTGGGGGTCGGCATGGAAGAAGCCGTGGCGCAGGATCTGCTGCAGGTACGCCTCCACCGCCCGCGTGGCCAGCAGCTGGCGGTCCAGGCCCAGCCGGTCCAGCTCCACCGTGTTGTTGATCTTCACACCTGGCGCGTACTCCATCGTCAGCACCCGCTCCGTGGTCAGGTCCCACTTGATGCGGGGCACCTGGATTGGAGGCAAGTAGTGGTGGCAACGGGGCCGCAGAGCATGAAAACGCCAAGAACTTGCGCTGGTAATCATCCATGCCGGTGACCTTGGTCACGAGAGGGGTGTTGCAGAGCAGCGATGTCGCCACTCCACCCCTTTGAGAGGACATTTCACCTTGCCAAGAAAAAACACACGCACGCACCCACCTTGACCCAGTCAACACCGGCAAAGTTGGCGCGGAACAGGTCGGCGCTGGCGCCCTCCTTGGTGTAGTCAATCTCCTCATACAGGATGCGCGAACACTCGTCATAGATGGCCACCCAGTCCCTGGCCGCGCCGTCGGTCTTGGGGTCCAGCTGTGTGGGTGGTCGGATGGTGGTGGGGTGAAGGACGGAAGATTGGACAGGGCACCCAAGGTCGCCAGCCCCCAGAAGTAAAGCCATCATTGCAGATTGGCCGATGTGCGCATCCTTACACGCACAGCCCCCCTCCTCCAATTAAACGAAATACCCCCCAGAACATAACTCAGCCACAGCCTCACCCTCTGCAGCCACTGTGCCAGCACACGGATGTTCTTCAGGTCGATGTCGAAGAGGCGCTTGAGGCCCGGACGCTGGATCTTGACCACCACTGGCTCGCCGCCCGCCAGCGTGGCGTAGTGCACCTGGCCCAGGCTGGCGGCGGCCAGCGGGGTGCGGCTGAAGCTGGCATAGGCCGCGCCGACGGGCCGCCCCAGCTCCTCCTCCAGCATGGTCACCGCGGTGGCGGAGTCGAAGGCCGGGACATTGTCCTGCAGCTTCTCCAGCTCCTGCACGAACTCGCGGCTCAGCACGTCGCCGCGCGTGCTGAACTGCTGCCCGATCTTGATGAAGGTGGGGCCCAGCCGCACCAGCCCCTCCCGCACCCAGCACGCCTGGCGAGAGCGGTGTTTTTTTGGGGGGGGGTTGTATGGGTGCAAACAAAAAGGGGTTGGAAGTGAGGGTGGTTAAAAGATAGCAGAGAGTGCTGCGGGGGAGTCCATCTATATCTTCGGCGCTGTCTTGCTCACAGGATCTTCCGAGCCATGCATGGAGCACACCATCCCCGGCCTCAGAACTGCGTCAAGGCTCAGACGCCTGCCCCAGGTTCTCACCAGCTCCGTCTTCTTGGCGGAGACGGCTTCCGGGGTCATGCCCGTCCTGCGATAGGCCAACTTCTTCCCGCTCCACCACAGCCGCACCGCAAAGGAGATCGCGAAGCTCCAGATGTCCCACGTGCGCTGGGGGAGGAAGGCGTGGAAGGGGGTGAGGGGGTGATTGACAATGCTGTTGTACAGGCGCCACCACAGCTCAGCACGAGACAGCAGGGCGGCATAGGAGCGGGATAAATTAGGGACGAAGCACATGGAGCAACAATTGAGACCAGGCTGGTCCTCTCACTCTCAACCCAGGCCCCTCCTTACTGCACATGCATTTACAATGAAGATCGTCCCCCCCCCACCCCACCCACCTGGATCGTGGAGTAGGACTGCAGCCTACTCCACTTGCCCCCAGGACTGGAGTAAGGGTTGGCAGCAGGCTCCGAGGCGGGGGCCCCTGTCGTCGCCTGGGGTCGCGCTGCTGTGGAGCTGTCAATGATCGTGGGGTCAGCAAGCGCCTTGGGGTCCATGGAGCTGAGCGTTTCCACGGCACACAGCTCCAGCTGGCCCGCATCACAGGAGGAAAGGACGTCGTGGTCTACTTTGGGGGTGGACTGCTGCATGTCAGTCTCCTTGGCAAGGGAAGGGGTGGTTGGTGCCCCCGCCACGGGGGCATTGCCCTCCCGCTCGCTGCCATTGGAGGACCTCTGCTCCTCGAATGGGGTCCGGGACAGGAGGCGCGGTCCAGCCCCGCTGGACAGGTCCACCTTTCCGTTGGTGTGTTTACCATTGCTCAAGGATGTGGGTGCAGGCAGGAGAGTGTGGTGGCCATTTTTTCTGTACAGTCTTCCCCCAGATGGAAGGCTCCCCCTTCCCCTCTGCACATGGGGAAGGAAAGTCAACTGGCATCCCCTTCAGCCCATGCCTGGCGCTAGCACACGGCAATGAGCAAGTCAAACACACAGACGAAACCGTAATGCCTTCGAGTCTCATGCATGCGCCTCGCCGGTCACATCTTGGACTCACAAGGGTTTGGCGAGGTGCTGGGCAGCCCTGCCTGTGCCCGGCCAAGCATGTACTGGAAAGCATCATATCTCCGGAGCCGAAGCCGTCGATATATGATCCGGGAATTTTGTGGCCTCAGAAATTCATAGGACCCTGGGAGACGTCCTGTTGATCGTGCTCAGCATGCGTTGCGATCGAAGGAGCTTATCCTACGCATGGATTCGCGCCCCCCTCTCCGAATCCCGCCAAAGATGTGCCGACGACCCGACAAACTCGCAGGACAGCATCGCGAGCTCGAAACACTTTAGGAAGATTGGACATTCTTTGGACCCATCCTCCTGTCCAGTATAGCTGAGCTTAGGCTGTCGCTTGATTCTCGGCGCTGGGCAGGGCCCCTAGCTTTATTCAAGTTATCACGTATGCCAATCCTAGCCAGCGAACGGTGACCTTCTCCCATATTCCTATCGGGAATAGCTGTATATTTGGGGAAGACCGCCCTATCCGCAAACACGAGGGGATCTGGCGAGAATGGACTTGAAAAATCCAAGTCAGTACTGATTTTGTGAAGGGCCTCAGTCCCCATCACCCAGTGTAAAGCTGCACCAATCAGGGTAGCCCAGGGCTGACAAAATGAGAACAGCACACCCAACAGAAGGCTTTCATCTTGCTGAGCCGCTCAAAGCTTGATGATCAGGCTGGCTGCAAGACCTTCACTCGACTTTCGTCATGCAATGGATTTGCACATGAGCCCATGGGCGTCCCTCTGGCCACACCGGATGTCCTCCAATGGAATGAACTCGATTGATAGCACTGGGTATGGCCCCACATTGCTGAGGATCTGCAGTTGCAAAAGCCTGGGCCATTCGTGTTTTCGTGGCGCTGCTGTAGGACTGAAGGCTCACCACTAGGTCCTGGGACGTCAAGATTACTCCAGAAAAGGGCCACTAAGCAAGCGACTCCTGATGTCGAGGGATCTTTCCACATCGTCAGCATCGGAGGACACCCTCATCTTGGTTGTGCGCCAGTGTTGACTGGAGCTCTAGCCACACTTTGGGCAGGGTGCCAAATTGAGCCTGAAATCACGCGCATCCTTCATGACTGTTTGAAGGGGTGTACCATGAATGGTGATTCTGTGGTTTGCCAGGAACGCACTCAGTCATGCACCAAGAAACTCAAGTCTGCACCCATCACCGGGCCTGGATGCTGTCAAGTTGAGTCAGCTGGTGGTCCACCTGAAGTGACCATTGAATCCTGTACAGGTTGAAGCATGCTAGGTGGTGATTGCTGTCTCCCCGATGTGAGGAAGGCATGTTCGATTGATGTCGAGCCCTTGGCAGGATATGTATAAAGAGGCGGCCACAGAAGATCCAACTGTCAACCAGGGATAGCGCACCTGAGTCAATCAGCTTGCCAAACTGGGCAGCCACTGCTGCCTTCACTGCACTCCAGGATGACGGCGTGTACCAGCCTGCAGCCTCGCACAGGCTCTGTTGTATGTATGGGTGTGTGATGAGATCATTACTCAGTGATCTGAAGCCGCTCGCAAGGATCAGTGTGGTGAATAATATATAAGCAGGTACTGTGTGGCTACCGACAAAGTCGCACAAGGCCTCCTGCCCCCGGAAGGAGGGCGCCCCCCCTCTCCAGATCTCCCGCCTCGGCATGCACATCCTCAGCACCCCTCCCACGCACCTCGCTGAAGTTGCTGGCGTCGTTCAGCAGCGCCTGCACCTCTCCGTCATCGATCTCCCCGACCTGGAACAGGGTGGTGCGCTGGCTCGGCAGCGCCTGGAACGAGTGCAGCTGAGCCCATGTCGCGGGCGGTGGGGGAGTGATCAGGGGGAGGGGCCGTGGCTCCTGCCCAGCGTTGCCTGCCCCAGCAGGCCCGGCAGGGGCCTCCTCGGCGGCCTGAGCCTTCTGGACCGCCTTGACTTCCACGAGACGCTGCCACCATGCCTCTGGCAGCTCATACGCCAGGGTCTGGAGGCGCCGGGCCTCCGGGTGGGCCCGGGGGTCGTAGGCTCGCCTCACCCAGGCACCCTTCCAGGGGCCTGGGCGGTGGGGATGGGTGCATGCTTGGTACTCATTCGTGCACGTGATCCAGGAAGGGGCCCGAAGGCATCGAGGGCCAAGGAGATGCGGGCCTACATGCAGCATTGGCGCCTGGTCACATCCTGAGGCTGATGCCCAATCTGGTTGGCAATGCGCGGGGCGGCCCAAGCTCCCCAGCCTCACCGCTTCTGAACTTGTAGCAGAGGTGCGGCAGGAGTGCAGCAGCGTCGCTCGCGGGCAGGGGCGCGATCTGTGTATCGAAATGGTGATGGACGGCGTCAGGATCCTGTCGAGAGGAATTAGGATTGCTGAGAGCTGGCAGGTGCTCCCCCACCCGCTGCCCTCAGGGCATCCGACCTCGGGGCATCCCTTGGCCCCTGGTTACTTTTTCCATCAGGCTCGCGGGGGTCCAGACGGGCTTGGCGTCCAGGAGGAGCGACAGCTGGGCGAGAGCGGGCCGCAGGGCCTCCGGCACTGCACAGAGAAAGGAGGAAGTTGGGGGGGGGGGGGGGGGGGGGGGGGGGGGGCCCC